TCCTCCCAACATTCAGTAAGCCACATATGATAGTTGTGAAGGTCACCTGATCAGGGTTGCATAATTTACCAATCATCATATCGTCTAGTACCTTTAGAGCTTCTTCAATGCTTCCAACCTTGCAAAATCCCTTGATGACTGTATTGAGGGTAATAACATCAGGGTGACAATTAGTTTGAAGCATTACAACAAGCGTGTTTAAAAGCTCGGTTGAGTTGTTTGGAAGGCAGACAGCTCTCAAGTATATGTTGTAAATTCTAGTTCTATCCACGCCTTCCTTGTCTATCATTATTTGAAGAACTTCCTTAGCCTTTTGGATGTCAAGCTCTCGGCAAAGACCTTCTAAAAGAACCTTATATGTATGTTCAGATGGTGAGTACCCAAATTCAACTCCTTCGACTAACAACTGATAAGCCCGCAGACAATTTCCCTCCTTGCTAAGCCCATGGATAATAGAATTATATGATAGTAAACCAGGATTAAGCCCTCTCCTCCTCATTATATATACAATTCTTGAAGCCCCGTCATGTCTTTTAGCTTTACAAAGTGAATCTATCATCTGCCCATAAGCAAATTCCTCGGGCACACTCTGCCCCTGAGGCATATCTTCTGCTATTGAAAACAACTCGTGGAAAGAACCCGCTAGACATAGAGAATCAACAAGATGGGCAAAAGCTGCACTGTTCACAGAGGGGTTCGTTTCTCCATTCATCTCCTCCCAAAGCTTGCATATAAATGCCTTCCCAGTTTCAAAATCCCGTTTGTAAAGAAATCCATGAATTAGAACACTGTATGTAAGTGAATTAGGCACCACATCATTCTCAGGCATTTCGTCAAACAGTTCCTCAGCAGCAGATACATTACCAGCACGGCAGTATCCATCAATCAAGGTAGTGTAGGAAACAACATTTGGACAATGACCTCTACTCTTCATATCAAATAAAACCCTATGAGCTACATCCGGTAGTGAAAACTTACTAAACTGATCAATCAAACGATTATAATTCACTATTGAAGGAACAAACCCAGGCTTAGCATCAAACAAACAAACAAGCAAGCGCAAGGTGCAATACGGAGATCGATAATCAAGCAAACGAGCAATAAGAACATTACAAGTACGTTCATCAGGCACACACCGGGAAGCAACAGAGAGCATAAAACGGCAGTGCGCTTCATGAAACCGGCGGGCATCACAGAGACTATGGATTATGCTACCGAGATTGAGAGGATGCATTTGGTAGCCGTGAAGGCGAAGGGCGTCGAGTAGCCTAAGCGCTTCATCGACATTTCGATCCTTGGTACAGAGACCATGAATCTTCTTCGTCCAGTAGGAGACATCGGCGACACTCTCTTCGGGTGCCCAGTCTCGGCCGTCCGATCCATTTCCCGGCTGGTACTGCCGGAAATTGGCGGTTCTGGTGAAGAGGTTCGAGAACGATGGCGTAATGGAAACGATTTTGGGGGATGTTTTGACCGAGAGCGATTGGCGGGCCGCAAGAAACATTTCAGGCGCATTCTTCTGAGGACTGAAGCTTTAAAATTCGCGGCAAAAAAATTCGGTTCGCCCCTTTAAAGCGAACCGAAGGGGGCTTTTTTGCCCAATATTGTGGTTTTTTTTTTTAATTTAATTTTATTTAATAATTAACAAAAACAATTTAATAATTAGAATATTGTGATTTTTTATTTATTTAAGAATTAGAATATTGTGATTTTTATTTATTTAATAATTAAAAAAAACAATTTAATAATTAGAATATTGTGATTTTTTATTTATTTAATAATTAGAATATTGTGATCTTTTTTTTTGTTAATTTAAATAATGTTATTAGGTTTTAAATTTTATGATTATTACATAAATTGTGTAAAAGGGACTAAATTGAGTGTATTAATTTAAAAATAAAATTGTCAAATTTGTAAAATCATACCCTTATTATAAATATAAATTCTCACCTATTAAAATTTTTTCTAATTATAAATAATAAATATGGACGTAATTAAAGCCTGACTTAAATAATTATTTGAATTAGTTCGATCTTAAATGCATTTAGATTGAGTATTTAAGAACATTAAGCCAACTTTACTATAGATATTGTGAATCCGTAGTGAATTAATTTAGAACTTCAATTTTGAGAAATGATCGTGGGTTTATAATCAATGAATACTATCTCCGAACGTTTTTTAGGAAGCCCAAAACAAAGCCATGAGAGCTTATATTCAAAGTGGACAATATCTTACCATCGTAGAGAATCGTGTTCATCTAACATAATATCGAATACCATTTCCATTAGTGTGAGGTCTTTTGGGAGCTCAAAGTGGACAAGCTATCTATGAAATGAGGCATGTAACAGAACCACTACAAAGAAGTTTCGGGAATTACGAAAGAAACCTCGAGCTCATATTGGTCATGGGGTTGAGAACAGAAGATTTCGGAACGAAAGGATTCGCTTAGACCGTTATGCCTACGTTGGAGATCATCAACATAACTGAATGGTAGCTTATATTGCCAATAAAATCAGAATCAGAAAACAACTTATTTACGATATCCATCAGAAAGCTTGGCCAAAACCAGAGGCTATCATCCATGAATAAAAATCAAGCTACGATCAAGCATTATGCAGATCGACTAGGACACATAAGAATATTACTATAGAAATAATTTGAAGAATGGAAAATGATGGGAAGTGGAACGAGCAGTAACCTCTAGCTAGCAGCAGGGATGATGCTCTGATAAACCAGATCTTTCTTTCAGCCTTTGTGGTTTGGAAGATCAATCCACTGCAGCTGAATTTCGACTTCCCCGCATTCAACATTTCTCAATCTAAGGTAGATATCTTGAATTACTTTGCCATCTTTCCAGACCACACAGCTCTCTTCAGCAAGACAGTTTTGCCTGCTTGGTAGCATTCGTGAGATCGTCGTTCCACTCGGAAGATTACTCAAGTTCATTTTCAGAGCATCCGTAAATGATTTGATATCAAACTCAGCATACCCCATTTTGTCATCCTTCGTAAACGTGTCGTGATCGTAAACAGTCTGTAACCAGCTCAAAGATGAATTTGGAAACGAAATTCGATGTTAGGAAACACGGTAACGAAAAAGGAAGTAATGGGAGTTAATTTTCCTATAGCAACAAGATAAGTGATTCCTTAAAATAGCTTTGATCAAACAAAACGAAAGATAAAGGCCAACCCATAATACAATATGGCAAAAGACCTAAGCCTGGATTAGCAATATCAACCGTTACAAATCGGTCAACAACAAGAACATGTCAGCTTTGTAACTCTGTGTGTATATCTACTTGGAAATTGTTTAAAAGGCGTTGTACATTGCTGGCAGAGCAACATATCAAATATATATAATTTTGAAGGACAAAATAAGCATTCATGGATCATCATGGAGTTCAACAAGCATAACAAAACTAAACTGATTAATAAATTTCTCTCATACATGGATCATCATGGAGTTTAACAAGGACTACCAGCTTAATTGGAAGACTTGGGTCACTGACAGAAAGAGTCAGATCTTCATTCCAGTGAGGATTGATATCCTTCTTTATCACCCGCGTCTTCAGTTTCTGCATCAAGAGTTCACAAGAACAAAAGAATTAAGCAGCAGCAATACTTGAGAGTTCATTCCTTATAAGAAACAAAAACTAAGACGTAGTTCAATGGAACATTAACATCTACAAAGTAATTGATTGACCTGCCTAAAAAGCACAATTTATTGCTACAATTTCTCGTGATGTTCGTACAGAGTTACGAAACTTATGAGTTAACAATTCAACAGCCAGGAATTTTATTCATCTCATTCCTTAAGATAAAAACTCGCATACAAAAACTTCTAAGCTCCTCCCCCACACAACATTCATTTCTGCACCTCCCAAATCTCCATTCGTGTAGGATGATCCAGAAGTTGCAAAATCTACAGGCGAATCTAATTAGACTTTTCAAGCCCTTATCGAACCATCCTTCCTCGCATGTTTCAAAGACTTCGTCCATGAAAACAATTCAAACATTCGCGCCATTTTTCGAGTCACACCAAATAACCACCAAAACAGCTTCAAATTCAACCAATTACTACCTAAAGCAACATGTCTTTAACAATCTTGAAGCATTCCAAAAGACATAAGGAAACAAAACCTCCAAATCGAAGCAACAACGAAGGTGATCATGAAATAACAGAAAAGAAATACGTACTAGCTTTCCCATCTTGACGACAACGTAAGGATCGCTGCTACGAACGTCACGAACAGCAAGATTGACACCACGAATGACGCGAATACGGAGAAGTCCAAGCAGATTCTCCATTAGCGCCAGAAGGCCACCGCTCTCGGGGATGAAGGTGTATCCGGCATCGTTCCCTGCTCCCCTTATTTATATATACCAAATAAAATTCCAGTTCGAAATTTAGAATAATCATTAAAAAAAAAGAAAGAAAAAAAGAGCAAATCCCGTGGGACCCAGAAGCTCCCGAAACCGATCCTTCCGGGAACAAGCTTTTTTCACCTCTCTTTTATTTATTTATTTGTTACTATTTAATTTTTCTTCTTCGTACAGCAATTTTATTTGAATTAATGTTTTTTTTTTAATTTATATTTGGTCGTTCCAGGTGGGTGATGGGTGACCAAGAGATCCGGTTGTCGGTTGCGGAAACGATGGGAAGGTTGTGGATGAGGTTCAGGCCTACGAAACGAGCACGTGCCAGTTTTCTTCTTTTTTTTTTATTTCTTTTTCTTAATTTTACGGAAATGTGTACCAAAATATTAATAAAATATAGTTATTAATGGATATTTATGAAAAAATTACTAAATATATTGAAAATAATAAAAAAAATATTATATTTTTTTTATGGCCGCTTAAAATGGGCCCTATTTATATATTAACGGGCCGGGTCCGGTCCAGTCCAGCCCAGTCCAGTCCAGCCCAGCCCAGCCCAATTCTCGAAACTTGCCGGGAAAGCAAACACGGGACACTGAAACGAATCCAAATGGATGACGATGGTCGTCTTCCAAGTCCGCTTCGCACTTCAAATTCCCGCGCTTCCCCTTCTGCAATCGGCGGCTTCATCAGTTCCCTTTCGAATTCGAAGCTTCAAAAATGGAACCATGGGAGGCCCTTGATCTCGACTACTCCGACGTACACTCCCTACTCCGCCCTTTGAAGCGCCACCGTAGCCCCCAACCACTCTCCGCCGCCCCCACTTCCACTCTCTCCCTGCCGCTTCTTGAAACCTGCTCTCGTTCCCCTTCCCAGCCCCAATCCCAATCGTTTAACGATCTTTTCGAGTCGGATTTCTCATCTCAGAATCCAATTTGTCGAACCCAGCGGATTTCCACTGAATTAGAGTCCCCGTGTCCGTCCGGTGCGTCTTTGCGTATCATTCCTGGTCCTGCCGGAGCGGTTCAGGCGGCGATGCAGCGTAGAACTCGCGGTGAGAAATCCTTCTATGTCGGCGATGAAGAGCCCCTTCCTACTCAGGAGTATATAAGAAGAGTTATCGAAAATGGTGATGATGAGGACGATGATTTTAATGGCAATCCGTGGGTTTGCGCTTTGGATTTTGTCCGCGGCCTAGGTTATCTTTCGTTTTCTGCTTGTTTGGTGATTTAATGAGTGGAATTCTTTGAGATTTAATTCAAGGGTTTTTGTAGCTGCGATGGATGGTAAAGGAGATTTGACTGAAACTCCATTGAGTTCTATCAAGAATGCCTTCAATGCTGAGAAAGTTGCTCTGGTAATTTTCATTCCTTTTCACTTTTCTGGCGCGAACAGCTACAGTATCATTTTGTTTCTGAGGGGAAGAACATATTCAAATGATTATTGCTTAAACCCATTTTCTGGCATCGACTTTTGCTAATATTTCTTCACTATAGCTTCTTGTAATTGCAAAATTTCTATTAGGGTTCCCAAATTTTGTTAATGCTATCTAAGTGGCTGCTTTGATAGGTCGTAGCCATTATCAAATCTTGTACCTCAAATAGTCTGGGTGGAATGATGGTAGCTTTGAAGGTTATATTTCGGGCATGCCCTACACGCAAAAAGTAGCATTCTAAAATTCCAGTATTTTATGGATATGAAAATGATCTTAAACTTCTTGTACCAGGATCCAACAGGTACAATAGACGCTAGCATCCACCATAGAGTAATTTCTGAAGGAAATTTTGGAAAGGACTTATCTGTTGGGGCAGTTTTAATATTGCAGAAGGTTTGATTTCCATTATTTCAGGCATCAATGATTGTGTTGAATTCCTTATCTTCTTTTGTTTGGAAACTTGAATCTTCGTGAACTAAAGTTACAGCCGCTTTCCTCAGTGAATCTTCATCTCATCTGCATCTATCCTCCAGGTTGCTGTGTTTTCTCCGACACGTTCTGTTCATGTGCTCAATGTAACAACAAGTAACGTTGTCAAGGTATGGTTTGCTTTAAGAATTGCTCAACATAGTTAGTAAGCCATTCAACTAAGGAACATCCTGTTTCTATCACACTTTCCCCACAGGAAAAATAAGGTTCTGAAAGAAAAAAGAATTCATTTCTAGCTTAGGGCAAAAGAGGTGTTTTCACGGCATCTAATGTAACAAATCATAAGAGTTGGATAAATTTTCAGTTAGCTCTTTCTCTTGGAGACAAACGTCATATGTGATTAGACAGCCCATATGCATGCGCGTAGTGATTATATTTAAGAAAAACATGATTCCTAGTTTGTTTGACATGTGCAATTATATGCTTTTTTGAATACAGAGATACATAGCTGTTGTTGACTGCGGAATTTTACTGCCCCTTGTCATTCTCAGCCATTATGTTGGCTCATAGAAAAAAGAATTGTTTGGAGAAGTCTAGTTCCTGTTGAATTCATCCTCTTTACCTTTTAGTTAGATGCCATGGCAGAAATTTAGTTTGCATGTTAGTATAGCCATATAGTGCAGGCATGGTGTAGCTATTTTAGGTGGAGAATGTACTTAGTTTCCTGTTTCCTTGGTGAATTAAGGTCAAAACTTTTGTGGGTTTTCACTTCCAGGTCCTCGGAAAACTTACCCTTCTACCTAACTTTTGGTTATGCTTGAAATTGTAGGTTATCTCCAAGGACAGTGGACCTCCTATAAAGCTCAATAGCCCTACAGCAATCATACGGCCTGATTCTAGAATTGAAGGTCGGCAATATTTTTCATTCAAACTTTGTTTTTGTCTAAAGCCGCCCAATTGATTATGCCCAGTGGTTTTCATAAACGAGGTGCATATTTTTCAATTAGTCTCCTTGTACTGTGCAGAAAGCCATGGAGAAGTACACATTCCGCAGATGAATTTTGACGTGTCACGTGAAAGAACTCAAAATATCATGAAGAATCTGAGGCAGAATTCTAAATTGAGAATGAATGGAGTAGGTGATTTACAAACAGGAAAGGGAAATGCTGCATCATCCATCAATTGGAAAGGGAATGGAACCAATGGAAACAGACAGTTTGTGGATCTGAGTACCTCCAAAGGAACTTCAAGTGTGGGTTGTAACACGCTCCTTGTTGATCAGGATCAGCAAACAGGGCTGGATGAGCCTATCAACCATCCTATGGGTACAGATTCAGGCGAACTCTCACAAGCCAAAGAAAATGGTGCTGCATCCAACACTGCTCAAGCCCCTAATAATCAAGAAGCTGAAAAAATCACAAGAACACAAGAACCATTACTCCCACAATGGACAGAAGAGCAGTTGGATGAGCTCTTTGCATTCGACTGAGTTCCATGTAATCCTGAAAGCTTACTCGGGCATGTTTTCTCAATGCAAGTTTTTGGAAAGCATAGAGAAATCATTGTTTTGTTCATCACTGCCCGCAATCCTTCAAGGACATGAATCTTCAATCTGTTTCTATGTAGTAAACTAATATTTTACAACAGTTTTTCTTGGGGAGAACTAATTCTAGAGTATTTCATCAAAAAGTGAAGATTATTTCATCTCTTCAAGATGTTAAAAGTTGCTTATAAGTTACATCTCTTCAAGATGTTAAAAGTTGCTTATAAGTAAGTTCCACAATTCCTGTCAATGTCAAGCTGAACTAGTTACATATATCTTCCACTAAGGGGTCCCTACCTGTATATGTTTAGGGAATAAAAGGTCAATTATCCTAATAATTTATATGGCCAATTAATGCTTACTTGAGCTAGAATACAAGAGAAGACTCCAAAGATATTTGAAGTACTCTCACCAATCATATAATAGTATTGCAACCATTCATCAGCTCTGCTAGAACTACAACCCGCATTGAGAAAGGTTGGAGACAAAATTGGATTACACAGCTTCGCAAAATAATAATCAATGTTCCTATTCTCCAAATCAAATAAAAATACAAAAATCAAGGGCATAACATTACTCCCTCTATATGCGCTCTCAAATGGAGCACTCTCAGATATACCACCAACCGCCAAGAACGACTGTGTGGGTGGGAGTGCCCCATTGCCAAGTAAAGGTCTTCATGGCAGAGAACAATAAGATTGCTCACTTACTGAATCAACTTGAGAACAGCTTTCTTAATCTCTCTGCAGATATTGATGCTCTTTTATTTGTTGGTTCAAGAACAAGGGCATGACTAAAATCTGCAGGAAATATCACCATCAAAACAAACAATCAGGGAACTTCAAAAAAAAATTTTAGGGCAAAGGCGGTTACCCAAGTGTGAAATGCGAATCCATCAACTACTGATGGTTAGATTTGCACTAGAAATGAAGTTACCAATCGAAAAGAGAATTTGCAGTCAAGAAAAGAGTGATGCAAATGGCATTTGGATTTTAATCAGACGATCAAGTTTTGACAAAACTCGGCATCTCGAACAACTTTTCAGATAATAATTCTGTTGGGATGCTTTTTGTAAACCAGCCCCAACAATTAACCATCCGTTCTAGCATAAGATGATATGATATTCCAATATGAACTCAACAACTTATTCACGATCTATAAGAACAGTTGTGAAAAATATGGCAAAATTCACTCAAGAAGCCATAAAAATAATACAGTCAAACAAGAAGAAACAGCTTACCTTCAATTGCTTCCTTGTAGAAACCAAGCATCTCCCTCGCTGTACCCCTTCGTAAAAAGGATTTAACATTCTGGAAGATGGACAATATTTGGAAATGTCAAGGAAATAGTTTAGTGTTTGAAGTCAAATGCTAATCTCACTGAAATGGAGGACAAATGGAGTTCTTTTTTTAAACTATTATTATTATAATTAGCGGAAAGATGCCTCCGTTCATAACTCCATTATCCAGACATCCATCCAGGCCAACGGTTGTACCCAAATTTTTGAAACTCGTTCAGATAGTAAACTAACAAGGATAGGGGAAAGAAAGGGTAAAAGGAGTAAGTAGATTCTCAACCTCCTTTTGTTTCAGTCATCAATCGAATTGTAAGGTTGCCACAAAAGCAAAAACGAGCTATACAAATTCAAATTATAATTTTTCAAACAACATTATTTTTATTTTAATTAATAACACATTATTTACTATGAAGGCAGAGCAGGATGTACAGAGGAGCAAATTACAGACCAAAAGGATATTTCAAAGGTTTCTGATTAATAGTAAGGAACAAACGAACATATGAAAACCATTTAAAAACTTATTCACAGCACAAAAGTTTCCTAAACGAATCACCTTTTTATCCAGGTCAATAGCTTTACTGCAATCTGCCTCTGCCTGCTGAAACCTGAAAGGACACAGGAAAGAAAGAAATGATCATAAACCTACAGGAAATGGTTTAGAGATTAAACGGAAACTTCATTATTTTTATAAAAGAAAAAAAAAAGAGAAGAGATAAAAAATGAATATACCGTCCAAGCTCTAGATATGCTGCAGCCCTGTTACTGTAATATGTAGCATTTCTGCTGTTAAGTTTGATGGCTTCCGTATAACAACCAATAGCCTTCTCCCACTGTTTTTCTTTGTATGCTTGATTGCCCTGGAATTCCAAAATCACATGAATGTGCGCAATTAAACATTGAGCAAAGAGTTAATGCCTTAACAAAAGTATGTGCAGTCACCGTATGAAGCAGTCAGAAAATATACATTTTCTTCATAAGATTAGATTTATCAAAGGGAAGACTATGGGGATAAGTATTAAATAGGATTTTGTATTGCAAACTCTACAGTGAAATCTAGAGACTAGAGCCTTATGAATAACCTCTAGCTTTATTGCGAAACTATAGCAATATACTAAGTAATAAAAAAATCTGTCATGCTATTAAGTTTACCGAGAAGATAGATGGGGCTATGGGGAGAAAGCAGGAAATACAGAGCTGATGATATGCAGATTGATTATATCAAAATTATTATTGGCACTATTTGAAGAAATAATTGAAAATATTTCGTTATCTCATCACAGTCAATTTAACATGACAGCGAGGAGGTCATCATATATGCTAGTCGGTCTTCAACTTGGCATCAAATGGTTATAGTTGAATATACATTACTAAACACTAACTTGAATACGATTAACAGCAGGTGACAGATACATTCACATACAATTTAGGCTAAATTACAAAAGAAAACTATACTTCAAACATCTTATTTCAAAAGTTGCAATATTACCTTAATCTTTCATAATGGCTTCAAAACTACCTTTGAAATACTTTAGTTGGAATGTGGCATGAAAATTGGGACTCAAACACACCACATCGTTCCAGGTGATCATCACATTATCCCATGTCCCAATTTCAACGACACCCAAACAAATTTTTACTAAGGATAGTTTTGAACATTTATGAAAGGTCAAGAATAATATTGTAACTTTTGAAAGAATAAGTGTATTTTTTTAAACAAATTGCAATGTTCAAGGGTAGTTTTTGTAATTTAACGTAAAATTTACCTGTTATACTTCTTAAACCCACAGAAATTAGTTATTCACCAGTAAGAGAGAGAACTGAATCAGAGAATTCTTCAAAACGTTTGTAACACGAATTTCATCATTAAAACATCCAACAGACTGGTAAAAGGAGAGAGGGAATGGCCAAAAGAATGATTATAAGTGGTCACACAACAGCAGAAATCATGTACATCAGCAACGAACAGGTTGCTTGAGTAAATAAAGCCGAAGATCATGAAGATATGTTCGCATAGAAAATAGAGAATCTAAAGAACAGCAGAAACCATAAGGCCCAAAAGAAAGGTGATTTACTAACAGTTTAAGAATACCTTTTCTTTTGCAATCTCAGCCGACTGTTCTTGGCTGACAGCATTCTTTGAGAACTTGGTTTTGGACGCAGCCTCAGCCTCCTCTTGTAAAGTCTTATACATGGTCTGCACAGTATCTAGTAAAAAGCGATCTGCCCCATGCCTGGCTAAAAAGGACATAGATACAGGACAGTTATCGTGAAATCCCAGTGGCAAGGTGACCTGAAATTAGGCAAACATAGATCATTTTTGTGGGAAATTTCTCGCGAAAAAGAAAACCAACCTCCAAAAAATATTAATAAATAAAGAAATCAAAATCAAAAGAAGAAGATGAAGATGCAGGAAGAGAGTGGGGGAAAGCTTGCCTGACAACAACCCGATATGCTAGCAATGCTCAATGAACTAAACAAACGAGTCTGGTACTCTTCAGAAAAAAAATCCTTTCCACCTAATTTTGGTGGAGGATCAGCAGTGGTGGGGATGACTAGAACTCCATCATCCTAAGCAAAGTGAAAATTTTATGTCAAAATCAAGCTAATCAACTTGAAATGTAGTCTCAAAGAATAATGGGGCAGGAACTACCAACAAAAGTAACTAGGAAATATACTGTCAATATATAAATGAAAACATAAAATGAGAAATATGACCGGAATATAAAGTAAAGAAATTAATTAGGTGTCTGAAGTATTGAAGTATAGGACACACAAATCTTCTCTTTAACTAGAGTTATTTAACTATACTCTCTTAATCACATTGAAAAAACTACAACCACAGCAAATTCTAAATCAATTGCTTTTTACATGGAAGAACCTCGAGGAATAATGAAGTTTTTTTTGCAGGTCTCAAAACTCGGGAAAAAATTACATTTTTCCTATTGATTTCTAAACAGCTGCCAACCCTGCAAGCATGAAGCTATCACATAATAGATTTATTCAAATCCGATGTCAACAATTAAAAAAAAAAAAAAAAAGAACAGCAGATAAGAAGAAGAATGGTCTCCCAACTTGTAAAACTTCTCATTTTTAACACAATCTAAGCTAAATGCTGCAATAATGTAAACTAAAGTATTTTCATTTACAGATTACCTTCAAAAGAGAGTTAATAGCCATACGGATTTCATTTCTAACAGACTTGAAGTTTTCAATCATTCTATTTGATATCTCCAACTTCTCATTTAATTGCTCCATTATAGCAGGATCCAAATCTGGTTTCACCGATTCAATCCATTCCCCATGATTGCCAATGAACTCAATCCTGTAAAAATAAGTTTGCAATAAGCTAGATCACAAGTCTTCCACGAATGAGATCAGTTCAAGGAAAATAAGGGGGAAAAACGTTCTTCCAATTATACACAAGATTCAAAGAAGACTGGTGCTTGAGAATGGCAGAACAAAAGGCAAGCTTTAGAATCTGTTTGTTCCATGTACTTAAAAGTAACATCAGGTAAGTTGATCCAACATCAATAAAGATCGGAGTCACACCTTTCAAGAGTCTGAATCACATAGGCCAGCACTCTAATTGAAGAAGAATTCAGATTTCCATTTGTCTTATTCCCAATTAACTCTTTCAATTTTGGAACTTTCGAACTCAAATAGCTTCCAAGATTTTCGTGCTTCAACACTTGTCCTATGTTAAGAGTGAAACAAAAAAATGAAACTTAGATTCTTTGGGAAATAAAGAGAGATGCGTAAGTATCTAATTAGGGCATAAAGAAGAACATACTGCCAAAAAGATTCTCAGTAGATTTGGTCACTGCCTGAGTAATCCTGTCAACAGGTATATTCAGTAGTTGAAAGCAATCGTCAGCTATAATAATTTGTCTAGGATTGCGTTGAACCACATATGGAAGTTGCAAAAGCACATGGCCAACACGACGCAGGACATTGGGATCCTTGGCAAACAATCCTGTCATAGTACAATAGAAGCCCAGAGACAAAGACATCAAACAAGTTTTATAAAAGGAGGAAGACAAGATGCCCAACCCCAAACGAAAAGACGAATTGAAGATAACAGTAAAAGCTCCAAATCTTATGAAATGAAAAGTAATGAAGAGTTAAAAAAACTCTAATAATTAATGACAGTTGAAACTTTCTAACAATAAATGATTAAACTAATAATGGACTTATGAAAAAAAAATCAGAAACTGAAAAAATGCATAATCTGTACCATAAATCATCTAAATTTACTATTTTCCTACAAGTAACAACAGTACAACTAAATGGATGAGTACTACTGAACACCTTGTCAGTAAAAAATGATTCCATTAAGGAGAAACAAAGTTACTCCACTGAAAAGCACAACGGAAGAACTATCAAAGAAAGAAAGAAAGAACACGAGGTACCACCAAACTTAAAAAGTATTCTCTTGATTGCTTTTCGTAAACTGATGATCATTTCAAGTAGGAGATCACAAAGCAGCAATGAATTGAATTTGGTCTTAAATTTAGCTGTGCAGAACTTTCTATAATGATCATCCTAAAGAACAGAACTGCTTATGTTCCAAAAAAATGGTCATGATCTTACATTCCAATGAATTTTCCATCATAAAAAGAAGGATTCGCAGCAAGCATGTACCCTCGACCCTGGTCAGAGGTTCAAATCCCCACCCAAGAGCTGGCTTCTGCTCATCCAAAAGAACCAAGCTGCTTAGTTATTAAACTTGCAGGCCTTGTGTACACTGCACTAGGGGAAGAATTCACTCTATGTAAAAGAGGAAAAGAAAATCGCACAATCCTTATTTGCATCGTCACCGAGGAGATGCTGCTAAAGTTTTAGGTATAGAAGGGCATTGCATTTCAATGTGAGGTTCTTTTATTATTAAAAAAGTTGTAATAAAATGGATTCCGGGCCATTTTTCACTTTTCTCAATGATAGACAAAGGTAATCACAAGTCTTTTTTTATCCAAAAAGTGAACAGAATGGCTCATGAATCCCAGTGAGTTCGCCAATAATAGCTAGACAACAAGCATACAAAAACGTTGATGTACATACCAACAGTGTCAAGACTTGTTGCAATGGGTATAATTCCAACTTGGGAAACAGAGCCATGTGACGGTCGAAACCCTAAAATGCCACAAAAGCTAGCAGGTATTCTCACGTCGCCAACTGTATCAATACCTGCAAGTAGGCAAAAAAAAAAAAAAAAAAAGTCACAAGACAAATAAAATTAGAAGAATAACTACTGAAATTTGAAAAGCATGCTGACATAAAAACATTTAAGTCCTTTTTTTCTTTTTGTTAATAAGAAACAGGAACCTTTGCTGAACAAAAAAGCCAAAAGGCCAAGGAGACAAGATACCACCTTTCCTACTCGGAGGGAGTAATTAAAAGACCTCCAATCTAGATTAACCTAGTAATGTATGATAAAATCCTTGAAACAACTGGGACCTGAGGGGGAATAGCTAATGTTGGACCTGAGGGGGAAGCTAAAGAGGTGGAAACAGTTGGCCAGTCATTTGACTTCAAGGTTAAGTCTTTGCTGCTTAATCATTTGAGGCTTCCTTAAGGGAAAAAGTTGAAGGCAACATTTTGCAGTCCTGTATTGATAGAGCGCAATCTAAGATTGCAAAAAGGAAGAGCTTCCCTATCTCTAGAGATGAATGATTAACTTCAGGGCAAGTGATTCTTCAAAAGTTTCCTTTCCTACTATTTATTTATTTTCAAAACTCACCCAAAGAGAAGTCAACAAGATTAGCAGCTACTGCAACAGCAGCTCCACTGGATGACCCACCAGGAACTCTGGCATGCGATGCAGGATTTGTGGGTGTGCCATAATGCTTGTTTTCTCCACTGATGCTGAGGTTAAGAAAATTTAAATATAACTAAATAAATACTCTTAGATTGAAAATCATGCAACTCTCAATCATCATAACAAATGATTAAACGAGGAGCAGGTAATAGGGTAATATTTCTCAAAATTACTGTAAAATAGGAAAAATATGGTTTTGACTCTAAACTAAATGAACAGTTCCCGTTGACAACATACCAAAGGACACACGACCAAATTAAAGAGTATGCTCACTCACTGCTTGAAAGGAGTACGAGAAACCATTAAGTTTCAAATTCCACAGATATATGAAGTTCCATTTCAACCCTAAGAAAGAAAACTGAACATACAGGCACAAAAAAAAAAAAAATGAAGAAAACTATTTACCTCATTGACAATTCACTTGTAACAGTTTTTCCGATGCAAGTAGCTCCTCCTTCAACAAGAGCAGAAACTATTGGAGACGTACGAGAAGCTGCATCATGTGTTCTTGCCCAGTCAGGATGACCAAACCCAGTCACATGTCCTTCAATTTCAAATCTGGTTATTACCATATATAAATCCTCCATTTTAGGGACCAACTAGAAAGGGCTCGTGTAGAGAGAATGAACACGTATAATCATGAATCCATCACAAAATGTTATAGACAAACGGAGCTTACAAAACAAAGTAAAAAGTAATAAAAAAAATGAGCTCCAAACATTGAGAAAAACTATAATGTTAATAATTATAAAAAAGAAAGGTCTTGACATAGAAACTCAAATAGAGTGATTGAAATGAGTCAAATCTCAACACTCCTCCCATGGCCTCTAAACTTAAGATTCCCCTAGTTTTCTCTAGCTAGATACTCCTTAATATCTAAAACTAAAAAGATGGCCTGACAATCATCTATAACATTCTCTTATTCCCCTTAACAAAAACACAGATTATTTCCAAAACTTCAAAACACTTTCATGGGATTCTCTCGGCAGTTAAACATATTAATATGGCATATACCATATAGATTCTAACATTTATCCTCATTGAAACAAAAATATCATAATCACCAAAACGCAAGTTTTTTCATAGATTCACCAAACATTCCTCTTTATAAATCCAAAATGCAAATATGAAGGGGAAATGGAAGAAGTCCAGTCCAGAAATTGAAACGCAAAGCACTTAACTTGTCACGAGGAAACCAACGACGCCAAATTTTCCCAATAAATAAAATCAAGATGCGTTTTCCTTCAACTTGTTTAGCACCCCCACTCGCTCGCAAGCAAACATGTACGTGAAAGAAAAGACGGCCAAAACAACGACAGAAATAACAACAACGAGAACAACGACGACATGTACAATAACAATAATGATAAAAACGAAAAATGAAATACTGTGAAGCCTACACGTCGGAAACGGCGAAGGTGAGACCGGTCAGAGGATGAGGAGCTTTAGGAGGAGCAGGCTGAGGAGGAGGAAGTAGCTGAAGCTTGCCGATAAACGCTCCAAAGTCCTCTTTAATCGCTTTCTTGAGCCTTTTCGTAATCAGCAGGATTCCAGCCAAACCCAATCCCAACAGAACCCATAGGTTCGCAGACTTGGAGGCCATGATTTCTCGCAAGGAGGGTGTTGGAAACCCTAGAAGCTTAGTTGCGATGCAGCAAAAGGGTTTTAGGTGGAGACAAAGAGAGAAGATAAACGATTCGTGTCACCGGCGCGGGAGATCAATACGGTGGAGGCTTTTCTGTTCCTCTCTCTCTCACCTTTTCCCTGTCAATTTTGCCTTTTGGGAGGACGAACCACATATTTATACTTCATATTTTTCAACATAAATTATAGCAATTCTGAAAAGCCTCATACATTGGTCAATTCCCAACGATCGAGACGACGATACATAGATCATGTTGTCGAAAAGATGACTTTGTTGTGTCATGTAGAGATGACATTGTTGTGTCATGTCACTACATCTGAACATACGCACGAACATGCGTAGTCGAACAAACTTGGATTCTATACAAACGATGTTCGGTTGGTAAAGGCAGACTCACCGATGGTCCAACAAAGCCACAAAACTAGTAAAAAATGAATATATGGCTTGTGTTCTTTAAGGCTTGTCGTATACATGTCAATATCACAATGTCGAAAGTATAATTTTAGATTGTTATAGCAAACATAATGAGATCATGTACTTTATAAAAAATTGTGAAATCTCTCCTGTCCCATTCTTAATATGTATTCTAATTTTCTTTCAACGAAATATATAGATATTCAATCTCTGATATCATGTTAGACAAACATAAAATTTCGTCTTAACAATAATTAGCAATGAAATGAGTATCACGAGTTCTCTACGGTATACACAACATAGAAACTAACTTGTATATGCTAATCAAAGAGGTCTATAAGTTCATATCTAATCAGAATCATGACCATGACCAGTACCATTATTGTTTCATTTCTTTTATGAACAAAGCATGGGCACTATATCACTTCAACAAATTATTGTCCTCACACATATCCATCCACATGAAGCAGTACAATCAAAAGAGAGAATAACAAACAAGGGCCGGCGGGAAAAGCTAGTACTTCCGTAGCTGTGATCTGTTCACTTCTGTAGTTCCATTTCTGGCTCACCTTCAAATAGCAAGTTTTCTCAGCAATCTCTTGCAACTCTGTCCAACAAAGTCTCTCAAAACGAAAAAACAAAAAACGTATTCTATTTATTACTTCGACGTCGACGACGCCATTTCTCAGGGTAACAATGAAGATGGTTCCTAAAAAAATCAGTTAGAATTTCAAAATTTGCACATATAGATATTGTGTACCCAAAAAGAGAGATAATCTAGTGAAAATAAAGTGATTTTTCCAGAGTTTCCAACGCCCAGGACAGTAGAGAGATTAGGATCTGAGCCTGGAGGAGTCTCCAACAGTGCTCTCCATTCTGGTGTACCATTCACCGATCCGTGTGTGCTCCACCATGTCTTTACCCGACCTCAAGTAACGGATGGGTCTCAACACCCCGAACACCGCAAGATCAGCTAGATTAGGTTTCGAGCCTCCTAAAAATGCAAAACAAGAACCATTGAATTTCATGCCATTGAAGAAACATAATGACACAACTTTGCATACAATAGAAAGCCTTAAACAGTCGTCCCAAACGTCCTTCTCTTTTTCTTCTTTTCTAAAAAATACAAGTTCCATAACTACTTGTTCCCATTTTCAGTAGAAAAATGGCCAGGAAAACAAGGAGTGGTTAGTTTTTTTCAGAAAGAACGAGTCGTGTTGAAGGTGGAGTTTAAGACTACAAAAATTCGAAGTTGGTGTAACAATTCATATCGTGTATAAACGCATCATCGTCAAAGTACATACCTAGGAAGTCCCGTCCAGCCAAAGCATCTACCCATGTTTCTGCTGCTTCGTATAATGCTGCACGCTCATCGGTAATATTATATTTCTTCTTTAGTTTCTTTGACACAAAATACATAGCAGCGGCTCCAGCATACTTTACAGAAATCTTTTCAGCAAAGCCAAAATTACCTAAGAATAGGGTTCACAAGAGAAGCGGATGAATGAAATACCTAACTCAATCGTCACTAAGTTTCTTTTCAGTCTCAATCCACAACTGAATAAGATCAATAACCTAAGCTCATATTAACAAGAGCCTAAATCAAAATAAAGTAACAATGAGAATGAGCATCAAATCCTAATTGAATTCTCAAACCAAGAAGTTAATCTCCAAATAAACAAAATTTTCTAGAGTAAATTAAAGTCTAACTGAAGTGGATTCGAAAAATCCTCAATTCACATCAAGATACGTTTGTTAAGCAGAACGTTTCAGTAAAAAAAAAAAGATCCATGATTAGCTCATACCATTACTAGTAATGTAGTCAAATGATTCAAGGGCCTCGGAAGTATTTCGATATATGTTTGGTGATAAGACGTGTACCAAGTGACTATCTACCCATCTGCATCAATAACCATGAAGTGCCGAAAGTTAAACAAATGAACAGCATCACCAAAGGTTTTATACAATTGGTGACTAACAATTCAATTATCATTAAGAAAATCAAGATAAAAAAGGACCAAATATGCTAAAAATATATATGTTATCAGAAATGAACTCGCCTGGTAATGAAAAATATACAATATGGATGAAGGAACAACCAACATGCATCTGGTTTAAGCTTAAGCTTCCAGATGTAACTAGCCTAGTAGCACAACAAGACAGCAGGACATACGTAGCCTTTGCAGTTCTATTCAGAATCTTAACAATTGAAGTAATTTAAAACTATTTCACAACCATTGTGTATCTATAATCAAGTATATGATCATAAAAACATTAGTGGCCGGACCTGATACACAATCCCCCCCATTAAATAAAAAATTTACATGTGAAATTCAGTGTATGGAAATTCGTATTTAAGGAACAGGAATTAGGAAAAGTGGTTCTCCAATTGAAAACCTACCGACGCCATTTTGTCTCTTCATCATCTTCAGGGACAGAAGAAGCATCTTGATCTGACAAAAACTTGTGGCTCAACTGGTCGATAATGGCTGCAGTAATGCCATAACCAGGAGTTAGTCCATAAGTAACACCAAATTAAATGTGCTAGTAAAAAAAAACTTGACAAAACTGAGATTTGCGATTTAAAAAATACAAAAGACCATTGAGAATAATGGAATAGCACCTGACGAGTCAACCATCTGTTCACCATCAACCACCAATATTGGCACCTTCTTATAATCCGACCATTTAATTTCTTTCTTACTAAGTGGATTGACCTCGACAACTTTGTATGGAATATCGTAGTAGTCAAGAAAAGCTGAGATCAAAGGTGAAATATCGTCATTAAATGTCGAAGAGCATGAAACCACATGGAGGGTTCTGAAAAGTACAATTATGGACATAGTAAATTTGAAATTTTTGGTTAAAAGGCTAAGCCTATATATACTGGAAACCGCATACAATTTGCTTTATTATACAGTCTTGCCATGTTTATGAAAATCAGTAGATTCAAAAATTACAAGATTTCGATTCAGATCATACACTTGACATAGTCTCCATAAACAATTCAGCTCTCGTTACCCAGTCTCACATGTAATCCTAAAATATATTCATATTGTAGCCAAAAGGAAAACGACAGGATGGTCGGTTAATCTGAACAGAAGAGAAATCCGCAATCGGGAAGCAGGAAAGTTTACAGAAGAGTTAACACAGTTACTAGATCTAGTTCGGCAATCTCGCCCTTATAAGGAGGGAACAGAAAAAGAATATCAAAATTGGTAATCCTGAAAATGGTAAATGTGACCCTTAATTGAGATCCCCCAACTTTACCCCCACCTCGGCAGAAGATTGAACACAAAACTTATGAAGTCGCATCATATAAATAAACCCAACGCAATTACCAATCCAAAATTCCTCCCCCAAGATCCCTCGCAACCACACAAATTCATCAACCAACAAGATCAATCAAAACACAGAGATCAACAGGAACAAGAAAAAAAAAAAAATTCACCTTTAACTTTATTACAAAACGGACACGCTTCGTATTGATAGAGCACAACCTCCTTAGGAACCAACTCCTGCCGCAAGGGCTCCTTCGCATAAACATCCTGGGACATAGAAACAGCAGCAGCTAGAGAAGCAACAGCTCCAACAACGCCGAGCGATGCAGCTCGGGTAGAACCACCAGCAACGGAATCTAGGAGAGAGGAAAACCAGCGCCGGTGGGTGTGGGAGCTGGAACTGAACAGCGCAGCTTGGAGAAGACGCTGATTGGAGATGGCATAGGCGGAAACGGCGCCATGAGAGGTACCGATTGAGCGGTAGAGGAAGGAGGAAGCGATAGAGGAAGACCTTCTCATGACGTCGAATCGGAGAAGGGGAAACAGATCTTTCAGGAAGAACGAAGAACACAGATTGAGAATGGTTTAAAGTTTTAGGGGTTTACGTGGGGTTCTGCCCGCCAGTGCCAATCCGTCTCTCTCCAATATATATATATATATATATATATTTATTTAAAATTATTATTTTGTTTGATGTATTTAGATTACAAATTTAATATAAAAAAAATAGATATTTAAGTAATTTATCTTGAAAATTTTAAAATTACATATTTTAAGAGAATAAAAAATAAAAATTTAGAATTATTCTTTAAATAAAATAAATAAATAAAAGCTAACATCTAGCTATTTAAATTTTATTTTAAAAAATTTTTAGTGGATAATACATTTTAATTTTATTTTCATTATTTTAATTAAAATTTTGAAATACTAAGGATTAAAGGGAAATGTTTAATTAAAAAATATAAAAAAAATTTTTATATATATATATATTTGTAGAATTTAACCTAAAGTTTGGACATTTTTAGAAAATAATAATAATAGTAATATTTGTCGTCTCTGTCATCCTACTAAAACCCATCTGCAGATGAACGCCTATGGCAAAAACCCTTTTCGTTTCCGTCTGGAATCCACGAAGCACAGTGATGTCTGCTCCGAAGTTCATGTATTTCGGCACTGCAATCTCCCGAACTACATCCAGAGCTCTATCGCCACTCCTCTTCCCGAGAAGACTCCCGCCGAAGCTCATATCTTTGATCAAGTGCAGTTCTTCTACAGGGCTTGATTCCGCCAGCAGTGGCGGCGCTGATGCTTCTCAATCCTACTCCGGCCTCACTCACCACCCCTGGCCTGAATGGGTTTCCTTCGTCGACGGTCTGAGGACCAAGGGTTACTTGGTCGAACCTAATGTAGAAGATGCGAACGGAGATGGGAGCGGCGGTGATGTAGCTACGACATCTGTGAATGATTACAACGACATGAATGTGTTGAAGGATGCTTGTCTTAACTTTGCGCGCGAACGCTACGATATTTTCAAGTGAGTTTTGTGTTTAGAGTTTGATGTTTTTTAGAATCGTGTACTGGAAATTAAGCTGATACGGTTGCATCTTCTGGGATTGGATGAAAGTATTCTAGCGACGAATCTCTAGGGTTTTTGGATATAATCTCTAACGCTTGAAATCAACTTGGGGACATCTTGTTATCTGGAAATGGATGGTTCATACCTGAAGGCCATTGCGTAGTTCAAGTTCAATTGCTCAAATTCATCATTGGAAGTGGACATACCCTGTTTTTTCACAAATTAGAATCCTGCTGATTGTATGTTTTGTTATCTATTCTGCAATTTGTTATGTAATCCGGCCTGTGATTGTTCACACAGCTGATCTCCATATCCCGTTTGAAAGAATTTCATGGCCCTTATAGTTTAAGATTCTGGATTCTCATTCCTTTCTAGAACATCCTTGTTGTTCTAGGGAGGGAAGGGCAGTGTCTATGTTTCACTTGCATTACTTAGTATGGTATTGATTACCGCCCTTGTCTCGTAGGGAAGTACGTTTCTCCGGGCTTGATTAGAATCTGTTGCTTTTTCTTTGTGCAGGTCATTGTCCACAGATGATATTCAAACCCTTGTGAAGGATGGATGTCCCAATCTCTTCCGGAAAGTTGTTAATTCAGCTAAGAGATTGAGGGCTTACGTGCAACTAGACGAAGGGGACGTATGTAGTCTCACTTAATTATCGTGGTCATTTTTTCAAATGATAGAATCACTTGTATCATGGCTTGGTTTACTCGTTTCATTTCGATATATCTACTTTGTACAGGTTTGTAGTACTTGCAATCTTCGAGGCTCCTGTGGTCGAGCTTATGTTATTTTAAAGGAAACAGAAGCAACTGCAAGAACTGTGGATGTAGCTCGATTATTGTTGACCTATGCATTGGAGCCAGTTGTTTTGTCTGGAGGGGACAAACCTCCCGGTAGAGAGCGTGTCGAAGTCTCTGCGAGAAAATTGCTTTCTGAGCTATTGAAACTGAGTGAAAAACCCATCGATGCATCAGCCGTGAAGCCCAATACGAAATCTACCCGAAGAAAAGAAAAACCATCAAAATTTACAGATGATGCTTTATCTCAAAATGTTGAGATGAAGAGAGGAGATTGGATGTGTACAAAGTAAGTAATATCTGAAGTGTAACTTCATTACTTCTTTGAACTACTTTTCTATTAGCTTGAATTTCTTTGCATCTTTTGGTGGTTGATTATTCAAGAGATGATTAGATGAATAGGTTACTTTAGTAAGAAATCTTGCCACTTAGCCCTCGACACGTTTCCGATGGAATTAATTTTAGGCTGCTATCCCCATCTGTGGCCTGAAAGAGACCTCGACCTTGACGTGAATGCTTACAACTCTCCATTTCATTGCATCATAGGATGATAGGAAGTTTTGGATCATGTTAAGCATGGATATCGAGTATTTCATCTTACCTTTAAGCTTTACATCTTTGCGTCTGATGGCCTATGGACGAGACCCGAAATCCGCTTCATTTATCTTTTGATATTTCTAACTAATACTTCCTTTTTGCAGATGCAACTTCTTGAATTTTTCGAGAAACAGAAAATGTTTGAAATGTAACGAAGATGGTCCTAAAAGAGTTCGTGCAGATGATATTGAAATGAAAAGTGGAGATTGGATCTGTTCAGAGTAAGCACTTGTTCAATCTTGCTCTCAAACAATTCTTTGGTCTTTTGAATATTTGTACTTCTCGACTAACCTTATTTGTGAGATCCCCACATCGGTTGGAGAGGGGAACGAAACATTCTTCATAAGGGTGTGGAAACCTCTCTCTAGCATACACGTTTTAAAAACCTTAAGAGAAAATTCGAAAGAAAAAGCTCAAAGAGGACAATATCTGCTAGCGGTGGACTTGGGCAGTTCTTATGAGTTCCTTTGCCTAAAACAACTGTCGCACGAGCTCAAAGCTAAGTATCACTACTGGTGTTTAAACTCATACACATTCCATTCCTTTTGTAATAGGTGCAACTTTATGAACTTCTCAAGAAACGTCAACTGCTTAAAGTGCAAAACCGAGAGGCCGAAGAAGATTGATGTCGGCGAAATTGAAATGAAGAAGGGAGATTGGGTCTGTCCGAAGTAAGTTCATTACTTATCATCCTTCTGTCACTCCATCAATCATGATCTGTTCTTGTATTCAGTGAAATTTGTTTCTTGTTTGACAATGCTGTGTTCTCTTCTGGTGCATTCACCTACAGATGTACATTCATGAACTTTGCCAGTAACAAGAAATGTTTGCGTTGCCGAGAACATCGCCCGAAGAGGGAAATGAATCCAGGAGAATGGGAATGCCCCTCGTAAGTTTACTCTTGCTCGCACGGTTTACTAACGTAGAGGATTTGAACCTCCGACTTTAAAGAAAGAACTATGTACTGATAACCGCTGCTCTTTTGAATTATAGACCAAACATGGTCTACCGGAAGTGTGATGGTGAGCGGCCTAAAGGAGGAGCAAGTGACGAGTACGAGGAGCAGCTATGGGAGTCACCAAGGGGAAGATGATGTCCGAAGCCGACAAATTGATTAAAATTTTGGGATGTTTGGTGATCAACTTCCTCTCCTCTTCTCTCTCTTTTGTCACTATCTTCAAAGAGATTTTTTTACTTATCAAAATTAAAATTATTTCCAACTATGTCTTTTAATCATTCAAATATTAGTTCTTTTTACTTATAAAAGTAATTTTTATGAGTAAAATTGATTTTGAGTGATGTAAACATGTTTTTTGGAGTGATTTTGAACTTAGACAAAATTGATTTTAACTATTTGGGACAAGAAATGGATGAGGTATGTGAAATTTATATATGATTACAAGTTTAACAAATATTTTCATGGTCCCTATGAAGGGATTTTTACCATATATAGGGATTTTTTACCACCTGCATGGTTCCATTGTTTATTTCGAAAAGCTCGAGCTTTTGGAACTCATCCGCCGTTAAATATATAAGGAAATATAATATAACATAAAATAAACCAAATTTGATACTCGAATACTCGGTTTGAGAACCCGCTACTAATTCTTCTTCCGCTTCTGGTAAATCAAAAGGTAGCCTCTCGTATTCTGCTGAGGAAGAAATTAGAAAAATAACAAACCATATAGGTTGACGTCACAAATTCCATCCCCAAAAACTATATTTTGATTGTTATTTTGATTGAGGCTCAACTAGATTAACTGTACTCAAACGGTTAGATAATCATAGTTGATAATAACATCACTGTTCTCGTCGCTATTACAGAATCATACAAAAGATTTTCACCTCACCCGGTTCCTTGAGGGCTATAAATAAATCTAGGGAGCGTGTCGGGATTATTTATCTTAATGTCTTTTTTGTAGAAGAGTATAGGATAAAAATCTAATTTTTGATTCTAAGATAGATTCCACATTCTACTACAATAATCAGTTAAACAGTTTTTGGGTATTTTAAGGAACCCACATGAAGGAAAAAAAAAAAAAAAATAGTAACGTACTTTATGTGGCATTAATGGAGTTGGATGTGAAATATAGAATTAGGGTTACTGAGGAAGAAGAAGAGAGGTCATTGGAAGTGGAAGGAAGCAGCTTCTTCGTTTTTAATTTTTTAATTCTTAATTCAACAACATATGTGAGATTCCATAGTTGATATTATATTCTTTTAATTTTTCGAATTATTCTCAAATTGGCATATTAATTGCTAATATAATACCATAAACCAAAATTTAATTCCATTATTTTTATAATTGTGTAATTAAGCACACTACTAAAATAAATAACATCTTTACTTTGGCCCCAAGGAAAACACTAGAATTTTCAAGCCTTTTTGTATGGTCAAACAAACAAAAGGAATATGGAAGATGAGAGGAAGGCATAATCCTTGCATCCCAAGTAACACATGACCGACCACCTACCATTCCATTTCTATATTAGAGCTTTCAAATTTCATATACAAATCCGTCTCAACGCTCTTTCAAGTTTAGCAGTGTTCTTTTTGGATTACCCATCAAGAAGAACCCTTTCAGTGCACAGAGAAGAAACCACCACAAGCAGCCCCAACAATGGTGTCCCTCACCCTACAGAAGCGGCTTGCTGCCAGTAGTCTCGACTGTGGCAAGCGCCAAGTATGGCTCGATCCCAACGAGACCTGCACCATCTCCTTAGCCAATTCTAGTAAGTACAACAACTTTCCAAGAATTATCAACTGGTTTTTTTCTTCCTGTTAAACTTTATCAGTCATGAAGTTGGCTTATGAGTGCACAACCATGTTTAAGAGGAGAGGAGAGAAGAAAAGAAAAGGTTTGGCGAACATAACATATACAGATTTAACAAAAGTGTGAACAATGAATTCTTTTGTTTCAGGAAAGAATTTTGTACCTGATTATTAACAATTTATCAAAGATGCAAAAGAAAAACATTTTAACTAGAAAACACATGTAACTGTCAGGAATGAGCATCAGAAAGCTCATAAAGGATGGTTTCATCATCAAGAGGACGACAACAATCCACTCGAAGTTTCGATCTCGACAAAGCCACGAAGCAAAATCAAGAGGCCGACATTCTGGGTATGGAAAACGAAGAGGAACAAAGGAAGCAAGGTTACCCACAAAGCTGCTATGGATGAGAAGAATGAGGGTCCTCCGAAGATTACTGCGCAAATACAGAGAATGTGAGAAGATAGATAAGCATATTTATCATCAAATGTATACTAGAGTGAAGGGAAACGTCTACAAAAACAAGCGTGTGCTGATGGAAAACATTCACAAGGTCAAGTCCGAAAAAGCATCAGAAAGAACACTTTCTGCACAGGTCGAGGCCAAGAGAGCAAGAAACAGTAAAGCTACAGTAAGCGTTGTAAAGCAGAAAGATTACACTGCCATTACAGGCTCTGGCAGCGACAAAATTCACACATTCAGGGAATGTCTTCCTTATGGAGTGGAAGTTTCATAAAACTGTTGATTAGAACATAAGTGCATAATTGTCCTTTTATTTTTGCAAGATCAGATGTATTTGTATATTTGTCACCAGTTCTATATTGTAATGCTTGTTATTTAGGCTACTTTTTATTTTTCATAGCATGCCAGAATTTGAATAAGTATTGTAGAGGAAAAAAAATCAGTTAAAAGTTAAATGGAAGTTGTGCATAACCATTTATTAACTATATGCTTTACAGTATGTAGCTTGATTGTCAGTTCAAATAGAAGGAAGAAAGCATCATACTGCAACTCATAATGCTTTTCCTGCTGAACCAAATAGATGAATCTTCTCTGCAATCACAGATTTCATGGATTCTTTGGCTGATTCCATCACATGGACTAAGTCTTTGCTGGGGCTATTCAGTGAATCCAAGTATGCCTTCCGAACCTCGGTGTTTACGTTGAACTTTCTCACTCCGTTCTCGATGCAAGCCTGATGAGAAATTGATGCAAAGAGAGACAATCCTTACAGGTTTATTTCTTTAAAGAAATAAAATTTGACATGAATTCAGCAATACAAGTACAGTGTTCTGCAAATTAGTTCCATTTTTATGACTCCTGAATACGAACATCAAGAAACTGAGCATGTCTCAGCTATTTAACTGTTTCGTTCGAAAAGAAACGATTAAAAGTTCGTACCTTTATGAGGTTCTCAGGCAAACCGGAAGCTCCGTGCAGCACCAAGAAGACCCCTTTTCTTGAGCTCAGAGCATGCAAATCCTTGTTAAAGAATTTATCAGAATCAGTCAACTCATAATATATAAAATTATGATAGTTCAAGGATTACCAATAATTCAAGGTTCAAGTAACAAATTCCAATTAAAAGCTAAATATTTGGCCTCATGACAGAGATTACATCATTTCTCAGCCATTCGCCTAAAACCCTGGAGACATCTTTCAATGTGCCACAATTCATCAGTTAGTGACCATGAACAAGCGAAGTAGCCTAAAATTTCTGATTGTAACATTAGCATGGACTGCAGATGATGCACACAATCAAACTAACAATGACTTGAATATATATATATATTTTTTTTTTATAGGAAACACAACTCATTTAATTGATTGATGAAATAGAATAAAAAAGACCCTCTCTGTAATTAATCAAAAAAATGCACCTCCAATGTGTCAAGAGGGTCGACGGGCTATAAATACAAAAGGGAAGAGATAAAAATATTTAGGACTTGAATATAAATATTTGTATACTAAACCTTGAGCAGATCGAGTCTGAGATTCGGGCCACTTGCTGGATATTTGCCATGGACATTACCGATACACACTGCTAGAGCATCTATACCAGTCTCCTCAATAAACTGTTGAGCCTGAATTGTTTGATATTAGTATTAGTTTTCAATGCTAAGCTAAAGAAAACCTTTCTTTGAAGCAGAAAGAGAAGTAACCTGGGATACATCGGTCAGCCTTGCTTCATAATCTTCAACAGTCAAGTCATCTTCTGTTCCTGATAATCTACCAAGTTCAGCCTCCACTAGCATGTCTTTTGATTGAGCCAAGGAAGAAATGAACTTTGTGTAGGCAATATTTTCCTTAAATGGAAGATGTGAACCATCTGCCATTACTGAATCAAATCCCTAGTAGGATGAAAATAAGGAAAACAACTTACAACCAAGTAACAAGTAAACTTTTTAACATTAATACTTGATAGGAAATCAAATGGACAGTGCTGGAAACATATTTAAATAGCCTGTAAACATACCAATTCAATTGCTTCTAACAGATCTTCCATCGAATTTCCGTGATCAAAGTGAACAGAGATTGGTACCTACAGAAATCAATAATGAGAGATCCACGTTTTAATCAGAATCTCTGTAACGAAAAGGACATAATATCAAATTATCTCTCATCCTACTTGGGGCCTCATGTCCAGATATTTTCCTGGTAGTTGGTTGGCAGGTTTTAGAAGATGAGAACCGAAGCTACATTGTCCATCAATACTTTATTGGTTGTTCCATCCAAGGGAATAATATACGCATTAAATTGGACATTATTATTAAAAAGAACCAAATTTATAATGCTTAAAAACCAGAGTCCTATTCCTTCCTCTTTTTTTCTTCCCCCCCTTTTTTTTCTCCGCGTAATTTCAGAATGAAAAATACTAGCAAAACAAATAATTTGAAGCATCTCTACTTCTTCATGCTCTTTTAGGTAAATCATAAGATTAAAACTGAACGTAGTATTTGTTACACTTTCACATTCTATAGCAGCCTCTTTTTGAAACCTGAAATAATTCAGGAATATTCAATGTACACTTAAAACACATCCTGCAAGAGACACAAAAAAAAAAAAAAAAAAAAAAAAAANGCTAAGCTTTCTAATATGATTTTTACCTGGAAAAGAAGACACATGAAGTACAAAACTAAAAGAAATCAAAGTGTTGATTAGAATAAGAATTGAGGCAGCATATAAAGCAGAAAGCTGTAGATTTGAAAGCAAATGTGAGAGAACAGTGAGAATCAGTGAAGATGTTGAAAGAAAGCAGACACAGGCACAGGCACAGGCACAGGCACAGCCACTCAGCCTCAGCCTCACAGCCACAGCCAACGCTTCCTTTATTTCCCAAAAGCAAAAGCCTGCAGCTTCTTTCTCTTTTCTTTCACTTCCTTGTAAAATAAAACGTTTCTTTTGTGATGGAAGAACAAGTTTAAGAAACTTAATTTAAATGAGGGAGTGCTGAAGACATATTCGTTGAGTTAATTTAATTTAATTTAAACACGAACTGTAATTAATCCTAAAAACAACAAAAACTGATGCTAAACAAGACATTAATTTCATACACCACAAACCCAAACCAAAAAAAAAAAAAAAAAAAAAAAAAAAAAACCCACCACCAATAACATCAAACAAAAAAAAATATAGAATATAAGTTTTTAAGTTTTGTTTTTCATATTCTATATAATCGATGCTATTTCCCCCTCTTTTTTGTGAATGATCATTACTTACACTGGCTCGTTCAGCAGCAGCAATACAGCACGAAACCAAAGAGAGCCCTCCTTGCTTTAAGGCACCTGGATGGATCTGGAAATTTGAAGAATTTGTGATTTTTTTAACACTAAATGCAAGGAACCTGATTTTATTGATCATGTTTTAGAAACAGGATCTAACAGTATCTGTAGATGAACTAAGGGTTTTGTTAACCAAAAAAAAAAAAAAGAGGAGAATAATCTGGAAAACTCCTATGAGAAGGAATAAATATGCAATGCAATCATGAAAGCTCTCTTTACTGCTTTTCATTGGTGCAAATATTCGCACCCTTCTACCTCTTAGCGATTATAGTCTTTCTTTATCATTTAACCTTGGATATTTTTCTTGTAACCCATCATTGCCCATCGGTGGGTTTAATTCCATTCATTAATGAAATATCTTTTTATCTCTGAAAAACAAAAATCATGAAAGCAAAATTTTATTCTTCTTTTTTGGCAAAGGTCATGAAAGCAACGAAAAATATTTTAGCATAACTTCTAGAACTTTTGTAGGTAAAATACTATTTCTCTATCTCTTTTCAATTTTTTTTTACAGGCAACTAACTGGATCATAAAAAGAATGTTATCAATATATTCACGTACAGTCTACAGATCTCAGCAATCTGCCATTTGTCAAGGCAGATCACATGGTAATCAGCAACGGGCAAAACTAATTGATAAAATAATACATGATATAACTCAGCTATGGGTATAATGTTTTATTATTTAAACCACATGGCAACATACCTGTAATATGGCAGGACTCTGTTGTTCTTCAGCAGCAGCAACAACAGCCTGAACTCCTTCCAAATTATAGACATTGAACGCTCCCACTGCATAACCACCTCGTTCTGCATTCTTCATGTGGAATGACATATTCAGAAATTTAGGGAAAATTGCTAGAGAATTGTTTCCAATAATTAAAAAAAAAACGTGCAAATTTAAAATCAAATAACCCTTACAAGAAGAATCTCTTTTGAAGAGGAAAGTCTGGCAGGAAGGGCCCAAGAACTGACTACTTCTGCTAGTGCTTCACTGTTGCCAACATTACCTTAAGTAACATAATTCGAAATAGTCCGAGATCATAATCAAGTTATTACAAATTTAAAAGTCTAGAAAAAAAGAGAAGACATCTTATCTAAATTTACCTGGAAAAACAATGTATGGAACTCCAGGATGTCTACTTTCACGGCCTAGTTGCCACAAGGGAACTCCAGAAAGGGCTTGTCCAATTATCTTAGCACATTTTGCTCCAAGAGCCTTCGTAGCAATATCTGATGAGGTAATTCCACCCTGAATTAAGAAGATAGACAAATTGATGAACTGTGAGCTGTCGTTTAACAACAAACTTTCCACATTATCTTTTATTGATGAACTGTGAGCTATCGTTCAACAACAAAATTTTCAGGCGAGAATATGATTTTGATGTAAGCATTTAAGCATCTAGCACTTGTTTGATCCCAATTTCAGGTGCCAATATGCTAAATCATATCAACCACGCATGATCAGCTCAAGAGGCAGAACCAATTATTCCTGCAGCATGCACGTACTTCGGGGTTTGGAGAGAGTCCCTCATATGATATCAGCCGACATATTAAGCATGAAGGTAAAAGAGGGGGGAAGAAAACTCGGTTTTTGGTACCTTTGCAAGGATGTAGCGAGGTTTTGTATTTATCCGCTGAACTATTTCCACTAGTGCTGCACTTACTTTGACATTGATTTCTAAACTCTCCAAGGGACCTAATCAAAGAAACGAGTAGCTACCTCAGCAACAACACAAGAAAAAGAACCTCGTACATTCCAATATACACTGGTAGAAGTATGTGTGTAAATGTATCAGTATCATAAATTAAGCTATAGAAAAGTTAGAATGACTAACTTTTTCCCGTGATAAGTTCTCGACTAGTCATAATTAGAGTATCTTTGTGATCCCTGAGATAAATATCTGCAAATATAGCTGCTTTTCTGATTTCCTCCTCCCTCTCTTCCTCTGAACTCATGGAAAGTTTGGCAGCAGAAACCTGATGGAGAAGAAGAAAAGTAGTCACAAATACAAAATATGAACAAGTCATACATGCAGAACAATGTAGTCTGCACCAGTTATGTGAAAGGAATGTTAAAAATATGTCCTGTACTCAAATACAAGGAGTATGTACTATGCTGTCGAGCACAAACAAGGAAATGTTCAAAGGAGGAGCACAGCAATA